CAATTACTCGATAATTTATGCTTTATAATTCTTAGATGATTTATTATTTATGATTTATCTTGAAATGAAATTATTTTTTAAATATATATTACGCAGTGTGATACTTTTTATTATGTATCACTGTCACTTATAATGTTTACATGAGCATCCTTTACAATTTCACCATCATTGAGTAAATTTAATTATATAATAGAGATATATATTTTTTAGAACATTCATTATTAGTTTTATTTTTTCATTTCATTTATAATAATAATTTCAATGAATAGATAAGATACACTCTTCACATCTAAATAAGTTTCATAGTTGTTTATGATACGCAGAAATGAAGTTAGTTTTATTTTATTTATTTAAATATTGATATAAAATAAGAAATTTACAATATATTTTAGTTTGTACATTAAAATTCAATAAAAGAATAGACAACTCAATTATTTTAATCTTTTTTTTCTAATCTAAATTAATGTTGGGGGGATCATGTTTTTCGTAGTCATAGAATAATCATATATCATATAAATAAATTTAATTTTGTGCTTCATATAAATAAATTTTTCTAATTATTTTTTGCAGAATTTATAATTTCACCAGAAGACCTAAAGAATTTGTGTTTAATTGAAATTGAAAAGTTGCTTAATTGAAATATATAGTCTTTAAAGGAATTCGGTGGCATGCCATTTTCTGATGAAAATCCACTTAATAGATATCAAAATATTTTTTGGTAGAGGAGTTGAATGATGACAAACAAAAGTTATCATCTGATCTTAGGGGATATTTTTCTACAATGAATGAAGATCAGAGGAATATATCCAATGAAACAATGGAAGTCATGACAACTGAAAGATGAAGTTTCTTTTTTGTGAATGGTTAAGATGGAACTCAAAAAATATTTTCTACAAATCACTGTCTACCTCTCTAATGTCAGATGGTAAGGTTGTCTTCAATGTTGCATCCAGCTGCATTGTAGCATTACTTTTGCCAAGGCGAAGGGCCGCACACTTAAGATTCTTAATCCTTTTGTTGCTAAACCAGTGCTCATCGTGTGCCATCAAACAAGGATTAATCCAATAAGCAAGTATAATCATATGGAAGGAGTCATCTACGATGAGTAGATTTGCTTTTGAGGCATTGGATTGCACAATGAGAGATGTAATGAGGTTCACTAATAGTAACTCCATAAGTGAACCATTCGAAGGGAAAACAATTACACTGGGAGGTGATTTTATCCATATTCTTTCAGTTTTACTCAAAACTTTAAGAGAGGAAATTATAGGCGCTACTGCCAATTCATAAAAAATACGGTTGTATTGTAAAGTTATGCATTGACCAAGAACATGAGATTGCATTCATCTACACCGTCTTGAACAAATAGGACACACAAGCTTTTTTTGATTGGATAATCATAGTCGAATATGGAAAGCTTGGACAAGTGATGGAATTATTGACATTGAAATTCCGTCTGAATTCTTGACTCTTGACACAAGTACCTCCTCAAGAGTATAGTGCATTATACAATTAGTTTTTTTAATGAAATCAAATGTTCACGGATCCAAAACCATAAAATAATTTTAAAAAGGGGTACCAATTATGTTGTTGAAGAACATTGACCAAATATCTGGATTGTGTAATGGTAAAAGATTAATCATTGAAGAGATGCAAAAGAACATTATTAGTGCAATTGTGAGAGAAGCAAGTTGGGACACAAGTATTGGAATGGAGCCGACAGAAGCAATTTTGAGATAGCCACTGTAAGTACAGAGATAAATCTTTGTTGCATGACAAACACACTTGAAAGTATATACTATTGGAATGGAGTATATTTGATGAATTCTTTTCATCACATTTGTGTTTTTTTATATGTTCTCTTGGCTCTTGACTAAGTTGGCAGCTCCGTGATAGTTTTGGCATTTGTTCTCCTACTTTGATTTAGGGGCATGTTAAAATATATTGTACTCCATGTATCTCATAATTATTTTCTTTCTTTCCTTTTTGGATTGTCTCGAGATTTTCTTTTTCTTTCTTCTTAAGAAAACAAATATGTGATCCATATTAATTATCTTTCTTTTATGCAAAGCACATGCAACCACTAACATTTCACTTTATTAAACATCGTACCTAATCAAACTCGAAAGATAATTCTGAGACAGAGGGAGTATATATAAACTTTTTCTATATGTGTGAAATACCTAACATAGTCAGACTCTTATCTATCTTATACTCCCTCCGTCTCAAAATGGAAGCAACATTTTGAATGATGTGTAAAATATCATGTCTTTTAAAATTATTTTATTCACAAATTCGTAGAGAAATAAAAAGTAAAATTACACCATTCAAAAATAGATTAAAAGTTCTACAAAATAAGATGCGACAAGAATATTTTTTATATCAAATGGTCAACCAAAATGAGTAAAAAAGATGAGTTATCGAGAAGCCGAAATAGTAACTATTGCTTACATTTTGGGACGGAGGGACTATGTTTTCCATATTACTAGTAATCTCAATGTAACAATAATTGTTCAATATGAAGAATAGAGGATAAAAACAAGGGAAATTTACCTTTATAGGACGAAAACATATTGATTTTTTCAATGTAGGATCATATGTTTTTATTTTCCAATATAGCACCATTGATCATTAACTATTAGTCATTATTCAACCGCAGAGATGTACCAACATTTTGTATTGTTATAATGCTAATTTTTTTTAATGCACCAACACTTTGTGTCAGTATAAATTTTTATCAACGCACAAACACTTTGTACCAGTGTGAACCATCAAAATGTTAATATATACTTTTGGTGTATGAATAAATACAAATTTTGAGGTACATGTATCATACTAAAATTGCAAGGGTCGGTTAAATGGCGTTTTCAGGGTAGTAATCATGGGTCAATTCTAAACTAAAGTTTCACAACACACAAAGTCCACATCACATGATGAAGCCTAGTAATTGATCCGGGGTACTTCTACCGGATGATATATTCCACTTTCTTACCCCTTTACCAAATTTGACCCCAAAATAGGGTGTACTGATCACACCACTGACCCCAAGATTCCCCCCTGCATTAATATCACCCCACGCCCCACCCTCTTTTACTATGTACAGCCGGTTTCTATTTTAGATGTGGTTTGAGTTTTCTAAAATCTAATTTGATCTGATTTGATTCTAATTATATATTTAAAATTATTTTTCATTTTAATTTACTATAGTCTGATCTGGTCTATAAAATGTATAAGTAATACGAGCATGTTGAAAAGAATAAGTTATGACTTGTTCCTTTCAACTTATCTCATTGACTCTCTCATTCTAATATGATCAAATTTGATCTGATTGTAGTTATATTGATTTCCTTTTAATGCGTAACATTTGTGATGAGTATCATAATTTTGTCATAGATATGTGACAGAACAATAGAGTTCATCGCAAATTTTAACTAAGTTTTCAGGATTGAAGTATCTGTAACACAGTTGTCGCAGATTTGTGACAAATTAAAGTTTACAACCGATTTTTGTTGCAAATCTTACAAATTCTTGTAGTGTGAGGACTCAACCATACTCTGCTCAATTTGCTTACTTGGAGTTGGGATCATGTGAGGGTTCGGATCAACATGATTCCTCATTAGCTCCTTAGAGCCTCTCAAAAACTCCACCTTCTTAAGCCAAAACATCCGCCACTCGCGGTTGGTTTTGGTCCTGGGGGCATAGTCATGATTCGAGCTAGATGCCTGGCCGTCCCAATGCAGTGTTGGTATCGAAAAACTGGCACCGGTAACGATACCGTACAGGTACTGTGTCCACCACTACTCATAAGATGGATCATCGATTCTTGTGTTCTGCCTTAAACTATGTATAGTTTAAAAGTCCGATTAAAAATATTGTCTTAGACTAGTTACAGTTTAAGTGCTATGTTATCAATATGAATTTGACCTTAGACTAAGAATACTTTAAGAGCATTGCTATTATTTGGCATTAGCTTAAAGTAAGTTAAGAATAATTATTTGTGATAAAACTTGATATGAAATTATGTGTACAAATGATGAATATTGTGATAACAAAAAAGAAATATTTGCACTAAATAGCACTAAAACTTAAGTCATTTTCCTAAATAGTACTTAAACTGTTTTATTCCCTAAATAGCATTTAATAATGTCCAGGGATAGCGAATATTTGTTTGAATAATGCCTAATGTATAATGACTAAAAGTGCTACATTGGGAAGAAAAACACATGTGGTGCTATTTAGAAAAATCATTATGTTTTAGTATTATTTAAGTAAATTTCTCTAACAAAAATGACATGTGATTATTGTGAACTGTGGACTGATTCTTATATAAGTTTGAATGATGATATTTAAGAATTGGCTATGTTCATTATCATTGTTAAAATAACAAAGACGGATTTAAATTTGAAAAAGCAAATATTTGAACATATATGTGTGATTGGTATTGTTTAAAAAATTATTCTGTGAATCATTTTGTTGTGCCATTGTACCACTCAGCTTCATTGCTGAGCGTGTTCACTTTTTCATCTTTCTACACGTAGGTATGAGAGAGAATAAATGTGGAGCTTATTCTAGAGAATACTGTGATGGAGGTGATGCGCGGACATGCACAGATATACTATTTGAGTAAATGATTTTATCACATGGGTTGACCATACTGTTGTAATTTGCAAATCACTTTCGCATTGTTTTAAATAATTTTACTCTCATGTTATTATTAAATATTTTACACAATTGTTTGAAATAAAGTTTTTAAATATTTGAAATTTTTACGTTAACAAGTTAATACTTTAGTCCGAAAGGGCTGCAAACTTGGACGGATTATGGTGTTACAACTTATCTTACCATAATAATCATCATACTCAACTCAGATTTTCTTAATTACATCCATCATTCACTCACTACCATAACTACCTCCACCCATCACTCCCAATCATAATTACTCCCACTATTCACATCATATCATATTTATCTCCATAACTACTTTTTCATTTATCGCTATAAAAGGAACCATTCATCTTCAATATGTGGGAGACCAATTTTCATATTTTCTCCTACACTACCATGTAATTATACTCTCTCATATTAATTAAAAAATACTCTTTGTATTATATATTCTTTATGGAGCTAAAACGCTACATCAATGGCTATAATACCAAGATTATGTACTATGTACTACCCAGATGTTAATAAAATCTCCCCACTGGCATTGTACCGTCAGAAAAGGTCCGTGTTTTTCTCCCGATTTGGGTTTCCACGTCAAAAATAGCTTATTTATATTTTTTGTGATTGTTAGACTCGTTTATCATTTTGATAGAGTAAAAATGATAAAACTGGTTGAAATAATTAACACAATCAGTATCAAAACACAAATTTTTTTCGCACATCGAGGTCAACGATTACAAATTTTGATCCAGAAAAATTAAATGTGAAGATTAAGCTTATGTTTGGATGAGGTAAAATTGGAGGGAAAATCCGGATAGAAAGAGTATATCAAAACTAAAATCTAAAACAACTTTAATAATATTAAATTTTCATTAGAATTAAACATATATTTCTAACAAGTAATGATCAAAATCTTCATAAAAATCAAAAGGGAATAACTTTTTCAAAAAAGGGGAGAGTACCCGTACCATTTTTCTCATTCTCTTCCTTCGCTACCGGGTAATTTTTTTTTTTCTTAAATGCAAAAATTGTGCAGGTTTTACGCGGCCGAGATGATTGGCTGCAGAGCGCGTCCATCCCCGGGGCCGCCCGTCAGTGTAGTTGTACATGTATGATGTACCTCCGTACTTCCTCTTCTCTTCCTATTTGTTCTACTTCAGCTTTTAAGACCATCGGGTGCTTCTTTATTTTGAACCAACACATCAAGCTTACACCAAAGGTATACACTAATATTTTGATTGTTCACACCAATATAGAATGTTACTCTATTAACAAAAATTAGAATTACATCAACACAAAATATTTGCGATGTACCAATGGGGTACAAACCTTTGGGATACAAATAATTTTATCCCTTTATTTTTTTCTCTTTTTTTCTTTATCAAATCAGCCTCACGTCAATTTTAGTTTTTCTTTCATTTCTTTTTCCTTTCTAGGAAAAACCATCCCTTTTCTCTTTCAATTTTTAATATTATTTTTAATATTTACTTTAATTTAAATAATTATCCTAAAAACTTAAAAACAAGAAAAATATACTTCAAACTATTATTTTGTTAAACTTAAAATAATTAAAAATTTAAAGTGATTCATTAAAAGTGCTACATTAAATTTAAATTGAAAGAAAAAGAAATTAGGGAACTTAGAAATTGAAAAAAAATTGAAAAATATATAAAAATTAAAAACTGAAAAGAAAAAAACAAAAGAATAAAAAAAAATTTCAAAAAACGAAGAAAAGAAAAAAAACTGAAACAAAATGGAAAGGGAAAAGCACGAAAAAAGGGAAAAGGAAAGGAATGAAAGCAATAAAAAGGAAAGGGAAGAGAAAAAGAACCTTAAGAGCATAAACAATGACAAGTAGAGAAATGAAATGACACACGCTGACGTGGCGTATTTCAACCAATAAGAAACAGTCTAGTCATTGAGTGACATGTGTGTGGAGTAGCAATCCCTACAATGGCAAGTCATTCTTTTTATCTTTTTTCAAAAAAAATGATGTATTGTGATTAATAAAAACTACTCCGTATTTTGTCATATATTTTATCATTAAAGAATATTACTACTACATTCGTAAAAAGCTTGTTTAATTTCTTTCTTTTGAAGATATGAAATTTTAAATCAAGTTGATTTTAGATTCTTGAAAAAAATAGAACTCAATTCGTCAATAAAAAAGTATACTTTATTCTCCAAAAATTGTACCCAGTTTATAACTAGTTTTGTTTTGAGTTGCCAATGTATATATGATGGAAACCGCTTTTTCGGGGCATCGACCCGATGAAATCGATACCGGGTCGGCACCGCACTGAATAGCGAAATCCGGAAATTAAATAAATAAATAAACAGAGAGAAAGTATTTATACGTAGAAACCCAAATCGGGAGAAAACCACGGCCTTTTTAGGCGGTGTCATGCCAAAAGGGGAGGAACTTTTATTAATCTCGGGGGAATTTACATATACATCACTGTAGGAGCTTGGAGCCATTAATGGATCTCCAAGCTAAGAGAAGAAGAAGAATGAAGAATAGTAAGAACATGTTGTAGGAATCTGGCCTCCCTCCTCACTCCTTCGTAGCCTGCATTTAAAGGGGAGAAGGAAATAATTGATGTAGACAAGAGGGGACATTGTCCATGTGAAGCCCATGTGCGGCATGTGGTTTCCATGTGGTAGTGTTCCACGAGTCCCGCCAAATGTCTCCACATCACTTCAAATATATTCTTCTGTCCATATATCTCTGGTTCTGTCTTGAATAATTTTTCTGATTTATATCTTGGGCCAGATAAAATTGGGCTTTCTTGTACTGTTTAAATAATATTGGATTAGGAAAAATCATTAATCCATCACATGCCTTGTTAGTTTTGAGTCTGTCTTGGGGAACGAGACAAATTCAAAACTATATGACTCAGTGGGTTGCCTCATGGGATAAAAATTTTCTTGGAACCTCGGCAAGAGGACCTTTTTTTGGAGGGTCTCGTTACCTCGTGGGTAAGGATTTAACTTAGTGTATCTTGAAAGAGGACTTTTCTCGGGGATTTGGTGCCTCTTGGAAGATGACTTTTCTCAGGGATTTGTGCCTCTTTAGAGGAGGACCTTCTCGGGACTTTGTGCCTCTTTGGAAGAGGACTTTCTCGGGACTGTGTCTCTTTAGAAGAGGACCTTCTCGGGACTTTGTGCCTCTTTGGAAGAGGATTTTCTCGGGACTTTCTGCCTCTTTAGAAGAGGACTTTCTCGGAACTTTGTGCCTCTTTAAAAGAGGACCTTCTCAGGACTTTGTGCCTCTTGAAAGAAGACTTTTCTTTCTTTTTAGTTCCTCGGTAAGAGGACTCGTTGCCTCTTGGAAGAGGACTTGGTGCCTCGAGGAAGAGGACTTTTCTCGGAGCTCGGTACCTCTTGGGAAAGGACTTCTCTCGGGGATTCGTTGCCTCTGGGAAGAGGACTTTTGCTCGGGGCTCTTTTTTCAATATTCTTTGGGAGCCTCTAAACCCCCACCTGATATCTATCTGACGGTGGTTGGGCGCTCCGCTCTTATTGAATTATAGACAATCTCCGTCCATCTTTCTCTTCGTCCCTGTCCCTCCAATTGAGGGGGGCCTACTCTAATCTCTTTATAGGATTCCTTTCTTTTGGGTAGCTTGTTCTTAATGGGCTGGGCTTCAGCCCATCCTTAAGCCCCAATCCTTTTCCTTATCCTATCTTTCCTCAACCTCGGTACGGGAGTCTATGACCATCTCCAGTAATTCGATCACTTAACTTGATCTAATTACTGACCTCTGCTTTCTATTCTTTTACATTATTACTTTTATCAACTTATACAACTCGGAACGGACCACCTGAGGCTTGATCCGTCCATTTGAGGGACCCATGAAGTTGGAGCGGTCCACTGGAGGCCAAATCTGTCCATCTGAGGGACCCATGAAGATGGCGCGGTCCACTAGAGGCCAAATCCGCCCATGTGAAGGACCCATGAAGATGGAGCGGTCCACTAGAGGGCAAATCTGTTCATGTGAAGGACCCATGAAGATGGAGCGGTCCACTAGAGGGCAAATCCGTCCATGTGAAGGACTTATGAAGATGGAGCGGTCCACTGG